GGCGGTCGTGTAGCGACTTGCGCCAGACGACGTATTGGAGTGTAATATGAAAAGACTTTCTTGGGCTTGACATTTGGTATGCGGGGAGTGCGCGTGGGCATAAAGGTGATGACTGGAGAGCGATGCCAAAATTTCTCGGAACGCAGTGGGGCATCAGTTCCGATCCTGGCGCGTGATGTCACAAACTTGAGCCAAAGACCAACTTTCAACTTTAACTTTGTTTCTCATATTACTTGTCATATATACATTTGAAGTGCTAGTTCTGATTCCTAAATTATTCATATATTATGTTCCATACGTGTTCAATGCTTCTTCCCAGCAGTCTCATTGAGCCTCATCCGTATAGTAGTAGACCTTGCCTTCGAATATACGCCGGGCTGTCCGAGAAACGGCACACCTGTCAACGTACGCGAACGATTCTGAGCTTGTACACAAGACATCGACACTGATTTGTCCACTCGGGTGGGCAAGAGTGACAGTCTGTTGTTTCGGCAGTAGGTCGGATGAGCTCTCGTCCGAATCTGAGCATGGGCTTGGTGTACGCTCGGGCGTTGATTGCCACGAAGACTGTATTCTAGCACCCTCCGCGAGTTCGTGTGCAATTGTTCCTTGTATGCATACCGCTGATGCTAGGCATGCCGCGCCTGTAAGCTGCAGACTCGGGTGAGGCTTTCCCATGCTGAACGCCTGGACATGAACGTCTGGAGTTCCGGATGGACCACCTGATTGTGGAGACGATAGGATGGCCAACTTTGGCGTACCTCGAACCTTTGCCGCTGCAGTTACGTCCGAGGCGAGGCCCATCATCACAGCACCAACACGCCGAATAGACTCCATTTGCTCGAGATAGCTTGCTGAGTCTTTGCTTGCAGTCTTGAGATTTGACGGTAGTGTCCTTTCGTCGACGAGAATAAAGGGATTGGCGGCATCGATCAAAGTTGCCTTGACCGAAAACCGTTGACCGTCATTCCCCTTGACATCGATGGTGTCGCAGCGATTGCCAGTGGGGAACAGCTTTCCGGTCATACTACCCGCAGGCTCGACGAAAGCAACCTTTACTTCGCTACCAGTTCCCTTGACTCCAGGAATTGCGTAGTCACCAGACTCCTCATAGGATCCGTCTTCATCGACTTGAACAGTGTCAACAATGACCCGTGATGTGTTTGTGTTAAATATCCGGACATCAAGCTAGATTGCGAATCAGCATCGAACCCTGAATTTCGGATCGATTAACTTACAGTTCGCTCCCCGGGAGTAGCACGAACCAAACCTTCTTGAAGAGCAAATGGCCCAACACCTGAGCACATGTTTCCACAGTTGCCGCTAAAGTCTACTGATTCTTGTCCTACAGCGACCTGTACAAACGTATAATCCACATCAATGCCCACTCTTGTTGATGGTGATACAACAGCAACCTTTGATGTTGTCGATGTTGCTCCACCTACACCATCAATCTGCCGAGCATCTGAACCTTGCGAGCCCATAGCCGCGAGTAGCGGCTTTACCCAGTCCTTCTCTGAAGCTGGCAAGTCATGGCGGTGGATGAATAGACCCTTGGAGGTACCCGCACGCATTAGCACAGCGGGTAAGCTGCGTCGGACCCTTTTCGGAGCTCTTTCGTACGCCATTGGAAGATCTGGTAAGCGTATGGGTAGAATGTGAGATACAGTTGAGAGTCTTGCTTTTTGAGTACTTGACAATGTAGAGAGTGATCGAAACATCTACACTAACTGTACGCGAAGACGTAAATAAATGTCTCCGTCGGTATGAAATCAGAGGATTTTATATCCAATAGTCTCAAAAGAGGGTACATCCCATATATAACTATGGAATCCACCACGAAGATTTTGATGACCATTGATGGGCATGATACTTCTCATCCTTGCACCGACTCCCGCGGGAGGTTTTGATGTGAGGTAAAGCCGCGGGAAGAAAAGGCCGAAGTTTTGCCGCGGCCACGAAACACGGTGGCGCAGCAAGTCTTTGCAAGAAATCTAGCCAACTGACATCCTACTTACATATCCCAATCCAGGTTCGGAAATCGGTCCAATTCCGAGCTGTTAAAGCCATAGAGGAGATCGTCCACAGTAAAGGTGTTTTCACCGAATAACGGTTGCTGCTGGCCTTGAAACATCCAGCTGCCGTTATTATCGTACGCAATATTGCCGCCGTCATTTTGTCCATTGTAGGATGTCGCCCCTGGCATTCCAGGCATTCCAGGCATAGAATTTGACCATTGTGATTGTACAGGTAAATTTGCATGTGGAAGATTAGCATTGCCGCTTGCATTCGTTTGCACGGGAAGAGCGTTTTCTTGTTCTCGCTCTCTAACAAAGCTTTGGATAATACCATCGATATCGATGCTTTTCAAGCTGGGCTCGCGGCCTACAGAACTACCAGCTGTTGTATCTGGGGTACTGCTCTGACCCCTGTTGTCAGCATCCCTGTCAAGTAGAGCATCGTTCGGATTCAACGTAGCAACTCCCATTCTCTTCATCAAGTTTTGTACAATTGCATTGGCGCGTCGCACGGCCCAATTTGTTTCTTGATTCTCACGGAACACTGCCAAGCAGGTCTCGAGGTTCCTATGAGCAGGAGACCTGGGTCCACGTCTAGCGGCAATGCGGGCGTGGATAGTCGCAGCAACGTAAGTAGCATACGAAATCAGGTATGGAGCTCTTCGCACACTGAAGGCTTTGTGGTATACTCGCAAGAGCTTCACAATATCATCTGCCGATGTTGCACAGGCCATAAAAGAATTTACTGAAATTGCACGTGAAGTGTTGTAGAGATGCCCGTCGGCAACGAATGGGCGATGCAGAAGGATGGTGAGAACATTATAAAGGGCACTGTAGCTTCCTAAGTATATTGAAATGATTTGTTAGGATCTTGGGTACTTACTGTAAGCTGAGTACGTGTGGCGGTGGCGTCACAGAAACCTTGTGTGCGTCTATAGCAAGATGCTCGGGTAAGTTTTGTCGCCATGTCGTAAGCTTTGAATGGATGCTTTCTAGCCTAGACGAAAGCTCTGCAGGGCTTGAGTCGGAGCTTCTCTCGGTATATATTGTGCTGAGGATGTCACTCAGAATGACCGAGAGCTGGCAAAGACGACGAAATGTGGAAACGCTATATGCCGGGGAGCCCAGGTAAGTTGCATCTGACTGAGTCGAGTATGCGAAGGGTGTCCAATGCTCGAGTTCTTCATACGTATCTTGGAACTTGATCGGGACTAGAGTGTCTGACTCCTTGATGCTGACAGGTCGGCCCTGATACAGGCTCTGGATTTTGTCGATGACTGCACTTTCGATTAGCGATGTCAATCTACGTGCAACGATGATGCTTACCAAATGCAGCCCAGAAGACGCGCCTCCGGATTTCGTAGTCTTCGTCAGACAATCGGCGACTGCCTGCTAGGTGTGGGGTATCCACGTGGATACCAAGATCAACTATCATACGAAATGCCAGGCCTGCATAAATCCATGCAGCGCTGCGTTCGTCCCCTAGGGCGAAGAGTGAGTTAGTCATGACTAGCATAGCTTGGATCGTCGTGATTTCACTTCTGTCCAGAGAGCCGCCTAGAAGCTCACGCACTCTTTCACGAAACTGCCAGCCAGCAGTGCGTACGTCGTCTGCTACTCGGCGAACTTCGTGGCGTGGGCTGAACTTGGCTGCACCAAAGTAGATAGCATTCAGAAGGAGTTTGGAGAAGTAGGGCCCGCCACACGCCATGTCGCGCATAAAGGCTGGACGATAGGTCGCAAGAAAAGAGTGATGTTGTCGGTTCCAGTGTAAGGATAGCAGGTGCATGCCTAGCTCAGGCTCAACACCGTCAAAGTCGAGTTTCCCCTGGCGGAAGTTCACAGTCTCAAGTTGGCGTTGGCGCGCAGCTTCGGCAACAAGTCCTCTTTCAACCCATTCATCAGGCATCTCTGGATGCGCCTCAGAAGCGGGCTTTTCATGGGGACCTTCATCGAACAAGGTACTTGTCCGCCCATGATAGCTGGAAGAACCATTCGCAGTGATAACAATGCGCGACACACTCTGTGGCGTCGAGGAACCAGCTTGGGCAGGAGATTGAGTAGCAGGACTAGGCGCATCTACAGGCACAACCGACTCTGAAGCTCTTTCTCGTCGTGGCGTCTTACGTGGACGGCTCGATGCTTGATGGGCATCGTCTATGGGCTCATAATGGCAGGTTACCCCATGCGTTTTGCAACTCGCGCATACAGGTTTCTCCGCACTGCACTTGATCTGTGGTCTTCAGTATCGCGCTCCACGTTCCATTAAGCGCGTGCAGACGAACCTTTCTCCGACGGCAGAAGGTACAGGCCTCGGCTGCCCTTTTGCGTGGACGGCCCGTCTTAGTACCGTTGCCGCCCGTATCGGCAGTGCTCATCGCGATGGCCGTCCAAATAAAGTAGTTTACGGGTACCTGTGGGTATAACTCAAAAACAAGACAGCGTGTTTGCTGCCAATGGGGAGTGGACGGGAGAAGAAAAGTTGCCGCGGGTATGAAGAGACTGGGGGCAAAGCAGGTTCCGCGGGAACGCATTAATTCAAATCCGGCAATCCGGGATTTGGTCACCCGACCGTGAGTCTGGACCTCATGACGATCTATACTTAGCAAAATCACAGCAGTATACAAACATTCAATGTTTTACTTAGTGTACGAGTAACATGTCATTCAAGAAAACTCACATATCCAATATTGAAGTAATACGAAGTACATTGCGTTTTCCAAGTCCGATAGAAATATCTTACTTGGCATCATACAAAAAGATAAAGCCAAGTTTTCCCTATAACACAATAGGCCCCCCCTCCCAAACATCAACGCCAATGCACCCAATCCACCAAGAAAAGCCGTAGTTTAACGTTGCAAGCAGCAGAAGGGAAAGTCATACGAAAAGAAAGGGTATTCAGCCAACGCCTGCCAGATGAGAACAAAGCCCTCATTTACCCCTAGTCTTCCCAAGAAAGTTAATCTCTTTTGTTTGTTCTCCCTACGCAGAGACAGAAACTTCAGATGGCCCTTGGAAAATGGCCTCAGCAGGGGCATCAGAGTCTCCTGCAGGCGCAGCTTGGGCTTGGGAAGCCAGTTCGCCACTTGCACCAGTCTCAGCCCATTCACCCCAGAGACCACGCTTGGCACGAATACGTAGGGGAGCACCAAGGTTGTTGGCTGGTTGTTCGACCTTGATGGCGTCCTTGGTTGCCAGGACGAGCATTTCAAAGAACATCTTGGTGGCGTCGGTCCGTGATGTCCTGGTTTCTGGGAAAATGTCTTGGAAGATGATGCTGCTTTTTTGTCGAACTGATTCGCTCTCCTCAGCTTCGGGCCCAAATTGCTCTCGTAAGAAGTGAACGGCGTGTTTTGTGCCTAGTGATACAGGGCCACCTTCGGCGGGATGGATAAGAGGTGCGGTTGTGTCGTCAAAGTTGTCTGGGACTGGGGAAAAGACATCCTCTTCCTCTTCACCGATCTGCTGGAAATCTGGTTCATCGGGGAGTTGGATAATGTCCTCAGATCCTCCTAGCATTGTGTTGTCACCGCCAATACCAATATCACCACCACCTAGAGTTGGCTCATCTTGCTCAAATTCTAGCTGTAGTTGTGGCGTCTTCTCTCTTTCACCTGCTGTTGCTTCGTCGTCCTCGGCGTCCGCTCCGATGTTGACGCCATCCCGCTTGCGTTTCTGGCTTGGCCGGGAGATTACTTCCAAAGAAAGGATACCTCGCAGTTCGGGAGCCCAACCCTGACTTCGTCCATCACCAAGAATACTTGATACAAAGCCTCCAGACTTTTGCATGTTGAGCAAAGCCATAAGGAGGGGATCGCGTGGAAGGAAAGACGCAGGCTTGAGAATCTTTTCACGGTTGTTCTGTTGCTCCTTCAGTTGCTGGCTAGAAATCATTGTCTCGGCGTCGGCTCCAATGACCCTCCTGCGCTTGGCCCTGGCTTGGTGAATGGACTCCTCCTCTTCCTCCTGCTCTGGCTCAAAGGTGGTGGTTTGCTCGGCGATTTCCTGTTCAAGGCGAGTGGCCTCTTCCTCTCCCAGCTCGGAAAGTGGTGATTCCTCACGCTGGCGCATAGGCAGATCGCCTGCTATCGAACCTGCTGGGAGATCTGTTTCGTTCATTCCGCCCATGGTGATATCCATATCATCATCGAGGTTCAGCTCCGGGCCAGGGCCAAGTTCTGTAGGAGCATCTTCCCCAATATCTATGTTAAGGTCATCAGCGTCTAGCGTAAGACCCTTGTCTAGCGCAGTAAATTCATCGGATTGACGGCGTTCGAGGGGCGCGTTACGGCCTATCTCGATACTTGTGCCTTCGTCGAACGGGGCTGGGGGCTCCAAGTCGTCATCTTCTCCAATATCCAGGTTCAGGTCATCGTCGGGAAGCTCCATTGGTTCCATACGTGGGTGCTCAATGCTGCCAGAGAGAAACTGGCTGTTATCCCAATCCGGTACAGTGGTGTTTCCAAGATCGAGGCTACCACTAAGCGGCTGTGAGAGAAGAAAAGAGGGATCTGGCATAGGAGCTAGCAGGTCCAGGTCGGTAATTTGATCCGGTAGAATCAAGTTGGTGGGGTTAGCAACATGAGTCTGCGCAGGAAGATCAATGTTTCCAGGGCGGAAAGCCTGCAGACGCGTTAGTCGTGGCAATGCCGGGTGGTTGGAACCAAGTTTACCATCTTGATCTTCCACAAAGCTTCATTGCAGTCATCCTGCAGGTAGTGGGCTTTCTTGTGGTAGATGCGCACTTCACCGAGAAGTAGCTGCGCGTTCAAACGCAACGCAAGTGGGCCGCCAGCAGCCACCTCTGGTCGAATAATGACCTCGCAACTCTCGGGGATCTTGTGCTGCAGCACTTGAGCTTTGGTGAGCTTCTTCTGCTGATTGGAGGCGAGCCAGACGTGCGCAAGCGCGCCTTGCTTGAAGAGAAGATCCTCGGGAAGAAACATTGCGGTGGCGGGATGGAGGAGCTCGTGGATGGGGGTGAAGAAGAGCTGCGCGTCGGGTCGGTCGTCGTGTTTATGTCGACGCGTCGCAGGTCACGGGATGCGCACGCGGTAGAGACGCGCCAGTGACCTCAATAGTATGTGCCAAAAGTGCGCGCACACGTATGGATGGTAGTCAGGGCCAGAGAGGGTTGGGCGACGATGGTGTTGCGGATGCGCTCGGTGGTTGAATGATGATGATGAGGCTGGTAAGGGCTGGGATCAGGGCAGGGCGTGGCAGCCACGATCCCACAGCTCCCGCTTAGTCATGACTCTGAACCAGAAAACACCAAAAGCACCTTCACCTTTGATTCCAGAAACCTCCATTGACAGAGAGAGTAGCCTCATTATGTGATAAGCGCGCACACCCAACCGCCTCATTATATTGTTGCGGGGCTGGTATTTTCTCGTTGCTGCCATCCAAGCTTGCAATAGGAAAGAATGGCGAGTCTCCAATTCCGGTTCATGATTGATCCGGCGCGGGTAGTCAAATGACAGTATGTTTAACAATATTCAGTCTTGGCTGTACATGCTGCAAAACGAATGAACCTCTGGTTGTCGCTTTTGCAATATTCCGATGAGGTTCTTGTGCGACCCGGCAGTTGCTTCATCAATACTCAGCCAATGTAGGGATATTGCATCAATGAACCCGATCGCGCCCTATTGGCCTTTACATTTAAATGTGACCAAGGGACCGGGACCTCCCAAGAGTTTTGACAATCTGCTCCGCTCGACTATCATGTTGGACCAGCTTGAGGAACGGTAGTTGGATATACATGCATCAGCAAAGTACTAATATACCTGCACCTACGAAGTCCACTTGATTGTACACAATTCCCAAACAAGCGCATTTGCTTGCATCTTTATCCAGTATGCTTTGGTACTCCTCTGTAGTTTTTGTGCTTCTTGTACAACATATCTCAGCCCAGGAAACGCCCTATGGGTCATCCGACTTTCTACGGTTTGGGTGTTCGCAGCTTGTGGTTGAGCGTACTGATCCGCTCGTCACCCCTGGGCTCAACCCATCACCGCATATGCACCAAGCAAGTCTACCTGTTGTTTCCGATACAAGAGGGCTAACTTGCATAGATTGTAGGAGGCAACAGTTTCAATGTCACAGTATAGCATCGCCAGCTGTTTCTTGATATACTTAAGAGGTTAACGTGATCAGATGGATCCTTCTTCCTTTGATCCGGCCGCGCAGTCGACATGCACTTCGTGCATTTACAAGTCAGCATAGTCATTCTAGAATCTTGAAGGTTCACTTACATAGTCATAGAGAAGATAGATCGAACTACTGGACCGCTTCCATTTACTTCAAGTCGCCAGAAAATGGTACATATCGTAAAGTACCACAGATGGCAAACGGCCGTCGAAACGGAACTCTCCTTGAACAGGATGGCGGCCTCACCATATACTACATGCGTCCATTTAGTGGTACAAACAAGAACACTACTGCGATGATACCTGTGAGTCTAGATTGGTTGTCGCGTCTGTGGTGCCTCCTCACTGATTTATAGGGCTTTCGCATGCTCGCTGGCGATCCCACCAACCGCAGCAAAGAGGGTACTTACCCAGGCATCTGTCATCGTTGTCTGCAGGTTGACGAGCGCATCATGGGTGGAGCCGGCGCGCCCTGTTCAGGTAATGACACTGCCAGTTTTCCCTCTACGCCATGTCCAGGGGGAATCCGTGCTACAGTGATCTTTCCTTCATGCTGGGATGGCGTTACTCTTGACTCGCCAGACCACAGATCGCATGTTGCGTATGCGCCCGGCTTTAATGGTCTCGCGGGCGACTTCTGTCCAAGTAGTCATCCAGTCCGGATCCCACAGGTCATGTATGAGATCATGTTCGACACGTCTGGGTTTGCAGATCCCAAATACTACCAAGATGGTAAACAGCCATTAGTGTATAGTTTTGGAGATGCGTAAGTCAAGAAACCCGCAGTGAAATGCTGAGGATTGTGTTAATATGGATAGAACGGGGTATGGTGCGCATGGCGACTACTTGTTTGGCTGGGAGGGGAATGCGCTACAGAGGGGGATGAATGCTCTTGGCAATCAATGTGGGAGCGAGGACTGTACCTCTACATTCACAATCCAGGATGGCAGAGATGCAATTGGATGTACGAAGGCGCAACAGGCTGTCGAAGATACAGGGGCAGATGCATGGCTTGACGAGCTTCCTGGTGGAGTACAGATTACAGAATAGTGCATGGTGGTAGGATAACAGCGAGTGGGCCAATATGTGGTATGTACTGTACTGGATGTATGTACATAGACGGATGGGTAGAGTTAGAGAAACAGTCCCAATCTCCTTCACCCCAAACACCCCGTCTTGGCCACGGCAGCGATATGCGAGGCGCAAGCATGACATCACCCGCAAGCATCTGCGCCACGACGAGAGCATGTGTAGTAGCGTCGGACATGTACCTGCCAAGCACCAATGCCGGTGTGCACAGATTCCTTTCCCCTGTAGCGGATCGAGCATGTTTATCTATTGCGGGTTTGCGCTCCAAACCTAAGATCAGTTCTCTCTGTTTCAGCTCCCGATAAGGCCGTCGCACGGTGGTCGATGTGTTGCGTCCAACTGTTTATGGGGTGAAACGGGGAGGGCCAGGACCCTTGACCCCTGCACAAGGGTACCGTTGCTTTGACGTTCTAGTCGACCGTCTAATTCACCAGACGAACTGCGAGCCCCGAAAAGACAATCCAAACCCTCCCTCGCCGTCAACCTTGGTTCTTTTTTTCTACCTACCAGCCGTCCTTACGTACACTGCTTAACCGCCACCTCAATGCAATAATCGGCCTCCTCCGCCATTTCCCCCACACTAATCGTCGACGGACAGGCCACGTTGGACCGCGGCGCAACAGTCGTCTCCTGGCCATGCCAACATGTCAAAAGCGTCGACGCCCTCACTGCCCCGCTACGATGCCTCGAACCCATATTCCAAGCCCTCCCGTCCTTCATCGCCAATGCTGCAACCACCAGAGCCCCATAAGCGCAGCCCAACACCCTCAGTACGTCATGCGCCTGGCTGCCATCGCGACCGGACACACGACTAACATGCACCCACACAGTCAGTAACAGCCACGTACTCGCTTTTGTCTGCACAAGAAACCGCGCAAAAGCTCTCCACCTCCGTCACACATGGCCTTTCTGCTGCAGACGCCTCGACACGCATACACCTCCATGGCCTTAACGAACTCCCGCACGAAGAGCCCGAGCCGCTGTGGCTGCGGTTCCTCAAGCAATTCAAGGAGACACTCATCCTTCTGTTGCTAGGATCTGCTGCTGTGTCATTTATCATGGGCAACTTGGAAGACGCGCTGAGCATAACTGTAGCAGTGACCATTGTCGTCACCGTAGGCTTCGTACAAGAGTACCGGTCGGAAAAGTCAATCGAGGCTCTCAACTCGCTCGTTCCGCATTCTGCACACATCATACGCGCTGGAGCTGAGCCATCACGGGGCGGCCGCACACCCAATGGCACAACCGACGGCATCGAACTGGACAATCTCAAGGATACTACGGCTTCGCTCTCCGCAGCTGAGAGGAAGTCCACGACAATCTCCGCGACATTGCTAGTACCAGGCGATTTGGTCCTATTTCACACGGGCGACCGCATACCTGCCGACATTCGCATCACACACGCTGCCGACCTTAGCATCGACGAGTCTAATCTCACGGGAGAGAACGAACCCGTCTCCAAGTCGCCTGACACTATTGCACCCCCAACAGGGGCCCAACGATCACCTTCGCCCTTTTACGCATCCGAAGCCACTGGTACTGTTGGCGCAGACATTAGGCTCAATGACCAGAAAAATATTGCTTTCATGGGTACTCTGGTTAGATCTGGGTATGGACAAGGAATTGTTATTGGTACTGGAGGCAATACGGAATTTGGCGCCATCTCTGCATCCTTGGGAGAAATTGAAAGCCCCAGGACTCCTCTGCAACTTTCTATGGACCGACTTGGAAAGGAGCTGAGTTACATGTCATTTGGTGTTATTGCATTTATCGGGTTGGTAGGATTGTGGCGGGGGTGGAAGTTTCTCGAGGTCTTTCAGATTGCTGTCTCGCTTGCTGTTGCTGCCATACCTGAAGGACTGCCAATTATCGTTACGGTCACGCTTGCTTTGGGTGTGCTAAGGATGTCCAAGCGCGACGCCATTGTCCGACGGCTGCCCAGTGTAGAGACATTGGCCTCGGTTAATGTCGTCTGTACTGACAAGACGGGTAAGTTATGCATATGGACAGTAATCTTGTACTCGCTAACCTCATGAAGGCACGCTGACAACTAACCACATGACTGTCACAAAAATATGGCATTTTGGCGAGGCTACTCCAACAGATGTGAAGCTCAAGCACGACTCTATGGATCTCGACTCCCCCACTCGTAACATCCTGCGGATCGGAAATATAGTCAACAATGCCCGTCTATTGAGCGACCACGCTGCATCAGCTTCCACAGCAGCAGTTCTTTCGTCCACCTTGGGCGATGATAGTGCCTCGGCCAAAAGTAGATGGGTCGGTCAGCCTACCGATGTCGCCCTCCTTGACCTAATTGATGCTTTTGGTGAAGACGACGTGCGGGAAAGGCTTGGTGAACGCAAGTTCGAAACCCCATTCAGCTCAGAGAGAAAGTGGATGGGCGTTGTCGTTGGCAGCAGTTCTGGTAGTCACACTCCCGGTTCCGAACACAGCTATATCAAGGGTGCATTGGAGAGGATTCTCGATCGCTGCGATACATACGTCACTGCACAGGGCAAAGAGGTAGCATTGGATCAAGCACACAAGCAGGAAGCAATCAAGGCTGCGGAATCCATGGCTCAAGAGGGTCTACGAGTACTCGGCTTCGCAAGTGGTGTGTCCAAGGCGAAGAAGAAAAATATTAGTGGCACTGCCTCTCCAGCGCCGGCCGTACACTCTGCTCTTGGTGATGATGAGCACTATCGTGG